GCTGGCTGGGGGATTCTGGGAGTGGAAGTCCTCCCCTCTTAAAGCATGCTGGCTGGGGGATTCTGGGAGTGGAAGTCCTCCCCTCTTAAAGCAGGCTGGCTGGGGAATTCTGGGAGTGGAAGTCCTCCCCTCTTAAAGCCTGTTGGCTGGGGGATTCTGGGTGTTGAAGTTCACCCATCTTAAAGCATGCTGGCTGGGGGATTCTGGGATTTCAAGCCTGCTTAACTTCAAAACCTGCTGGTGATTGATGTCCACCCACATTAAAATCGCCAAGACTGAAAAACACGGGTTTATTGCAAACTCGGGTTCTTCTAGCCACTGAGTGCCATTGGAAGGAATCCTGCCTCCTTCTCCCTTTTCAAAACAGTTTCCAACCACACACAGAGGGGAAATATAATAAAGGGAAGAAACGGGAGTCACGCGATTTAGCCAGCCGAGTGTCCGTTTTAATCTTTTGGGTCTCAAGAAAGCCCTTCGATGTTTTCGATGGAACCTTCGGACTCGCTGAAACTTTCTTCGGCTCCCCCTTTCATCTCAATGTTCCCGTGGTGGGCACAGCTCAGCTGCCCCCTTCAAGGAGAGAAAGAAAAATCCCGCGTCAGAGGCACCTTTGGCAAGGAGAAGGACGAAGGAAACATGGGCATGCATAATTTATCAAAGCGTGGGAATATAACTAATTGCTGGTCCTTGGGTCGAAGGAAGAACAACTAGAGAACACAGAATACAGGGACTGTAGATTAGATTAAATGAACCAAGTTGGAAGGGGCCTTGTAGGTCATCCAGTCCAACCCCCTGCCCAAGCGGGAGACTCTATACCATTTCTGACAGAGGGCAGTCCAGTCTCTCTTTGAAAGCCTCCAGTGATGAAGCTCCCACAAATTCTATTCCTATTCTATTCTATTATTCTATTCTGCTCTATTCTATTCTATTCTAATTGCTATTCTATTCTATTCTATTCTATTCTATTCTATTCTATTCTATTCTATTCTATTCCATTCCAATTCCTATTCTATTCTATTCTATTCTATTCTATTCTATTCTATTCTATTCTATTCTATTCTAATTCTATTCTATTGCTATTCTATTCTATTCTATTCTATTCTATTCTAATTCTATTCTATTGCTATTCTATTCCTATTCTAGTCTTTAACAAACAGATTAACAGAGTGGGAAGGGACCTTGTAGGTCATCTAGTCCAACCCCCTGCCCAAGCGGGAGACCCTACACCATTTCTGACAGAGGGCAGTCCAGTCTCTTCTTGAAAGCCTCAAGTGATGAAGCTCCCACAACTTCTGAAAGCAACTAGAGAAGAATAGAATAGAATCATAGTTGGAAGGGACCTTGGAGGTCTTCTAGCCCAGCCCGCCCTGCTCAGGGCAGGGAAGATTAGACATTCCCAATTCCTGCAGCTGTTCTTCGTATGTTTTAGCGTCCGGTCCCCTAATAAATCTTCGTTGCTCTTTGTGTTTTGCTCCTCCTGGACAGTACAAGTAGGTCTAACGGTGGAGGCTCAGTACAAAACATTTTTATTGATCACTCCTGGAGGCATCATAAAAAAATTTTTCCCATCCCACCCAGCTTCCATTGGACATGTCAGCCTTGGTGTCAGGAGTATATTCATGAAGCGGAATAGAGCTTGGTAACAAGGTCAGACAATGAATAGGCATAGCAACTAAGTCGGCCAATGAGGACTGTTTGGAAACTGAAACTAGAAGTAGCCTAGGCGTGGCTCTATATTAAGCTCTGCAACTCTGCAGCTATGTTGAGCTCTGTGTCTGTCTATTTGGAAATGAAACTGCTTCTCTCCTCTGCTGGCTTGCTGAACGAAAGTTGAAACTGATGCCTCTTTCTCTCGTGTCTGCTGAACTCACTTGCAACAGGTTTATTCCTGTCTGAGTTTGCTCCACGTTGGAGACATCTACAGCTGGTTTGTAAAATTTACTTATTACGTTTCTAAAGACGTGAAATGAAGCATCGGCCATCTGGGTTTATTTTTCTGGCACTGAATTAACGCCGCAAAACTCTGACCGCGGGGCCCCCCCCCCCCCCCCCCGTTTTTTAAGCCTGTGTGAACAGCAAGGATCACACCAATTTGCTTCCCCGCTCAATATTAAACAGCTGCTATCAATTGCTGGGTTATTGTAAGGCCTACAGTGTATGGAAAATGGCCTTGGGAGACGGAAGGACGAGTCACGGACAAGGCAACTGTGATGGAAAATTATCTCAGCCCATAGAAAGGGGAGGGGATGTGTGAAGTGTTTCGGAAGGACCCTGCCTAGTTTCTTGAAAGTAAGAGAAAAGGAGAACGGGAGTAATATTTCAGACTTGTGAGGTTCTGTTTGCAAGGAATGTATGGTTAATTCTCACAGTGTAATTGGAGGAACCGCCAAATTTGATGACTTTAAGACTTGCGGACTTCAACTCCCAGAATCCCCCAGCCAGCCTGCTTTAAGAGGGGTGGACTTCCACTCCCAGAATCCCCCAGCCAGCATGATTTTAAGACTTGTGAACTTCAACTCCCAGAATTCCCCAGCCAGCTTGCTGGACCGGTCTTAAAAGCATGCTGGCTGGGGAATTCTGGGAATTGAAGTCCACCCATCTTAAAGCATGCCGACTGGAGGATTTGGGAGTAGAAGGCCACCCTTCTTAAAAAAGGCTGGCTGGGGGATTCTGGGAGTGGAAGGCCACCTCTCTTAAAACAGGCTGGCTGGGGGATTCTGGAAGTCCATCCCTCTTAAAAGCATGCTGGCTGGGGGATTCTGGGAGTGGAACCTTAACCACCTTCAACTCCCTAAACTTGACAAAACCTGACCTAGGTGTTTCTACCCACGCAAGCATTTGAGGAGACATGGATGCATAACCCTGACTCTTACCTCTGGGTGGCATCTGGCAGGCCCTTATTGATGTCATGGCTGTCGGCAGTTGGGCAAAGAAACTCCAACACTTTGTCAAGGCTTGAGTTAGCTCTGCAAAAAATAAATAGAAAGGAAAGGAAAGACCGTGAGCAAGGACAACAGCTGTTGGACTGACTGGCAAAGAGAGAGAGAGAGAGACAGAGAGAGAGAGACAGAGAGAGACAGAGACAGAGAGAGACAGAAACAGACAACTGGTTCTTGTGTTGTTGTCATTTGCACGCCCCTCCAGCTCATCGCCCTGCCTAAACCCTTCCAGTGCCATGTGCTCACCTGCCTATTTATATATGCTTAATCTAAATGGGCAGCAAGGACAGATTGTGCCTCGCAGGGAAGAGTTTTTTTTCTACAAGGCCTGGCTGCACCCAAAAGATTAACATAGGATAACAAGAGTTGGAAGGGACCCTGGAGGTCTTCTAGTCCAGCCCCCTGCTCAGGCAGGAGCCCCTACATTATTTCAGACAAGGGGCCGTCTAATCTCTCTTTAAAAAAAACCTCCAATGATGCAGCACCCACAACTTCTGGAGGCAAAATTCTTTCTTGGGGATTGGGGGTCTTGTGGGATTTAGTTTGGGATAGCTGGGCTCCAGATTCTCTCTCTTTTTTTTTTTGGGGGGGGGGGGGGGCAGAGAAATTGGTGCAGCAGGGTTCAATCCAGGTAGTTCTCAACCTATGACAAAAATCAAGCCCAAATTTCTGTTGCTAAGTGACCCTGTTGCTAAAGTGTGTCCCTGATTTATGGCCACTAACCCGTTGCTAAGGGAGACCCTTTGTTAAGCAGGGTTTGCCCCGTTTTACGACCTTCCTTGTCACTGTTGTTAAGTGAATCCCTGCAGTTATGTGAGTGACATGGCTGTTAAGTGAATCTGCCGCCCACCCCACCCCGCTGCGCTGAATTTGCTCGTCAGGTGGTCGCAAAAGGGGATCCCTGGGACTCGGCGACCGAGGTAACGACAAGCCGGTGGCCAAGGGTCTGAATTTGGGCCACGTGACCACGGGGAAGGCTGCCAACGGCCGCGAAGTGTGGAAAACGGTTATTAGTCACTTCTGCGGTGGTCACAAGTGTGAAGGTCGGCCGTAAGTCCCTTTCCTCATCACAGTTGGAATTCTGACCGGTCGCTAAAGGAATAGCTGTAAGGCGAGGATTATACCTGTATAATCTTAACAAATACATCAATAGAGATGTATCTTTTAAGAAGACACTGGGCAGCCACTTGTGGTGCAAACCTTTTTCGCAGTGGTGGCAAACCTTTTCCGGCTCCCGTGCCGATAACTGTGCACTCGCGTGCCGGTACCCAGAAGGCAATGCGTCGGGCGGCAGTGGGGCTCTTCCAGGCGAGCTCTCATGTGCCGTGGGGAATGGCTCTGCGTGCCACTTCCAGCACGCGTGGCATAGGTTCGCCCATCACGGGTATCTATAGCTTCCTGCTTGAGCAGGGGGTTGGACTAAATTATCTCCAAGGTCCCTTCCTACCCTTGTTCTGTTAATTCATTAATCAATTAATCAACGCATCAGTGGGAGTTGTGGGTGGCTCCATCCCTGGAGGTCTGAAATGGTATAGGGTCTCCTGATTAGGCAGGGGGCTGGACTAGAAGACCTCCAAGGTCCCTTCCAGCTTCTATTCCGACTCTGAAATAAAATCAATCAATCAATTTTGATATTTGGTGGGGGGACACCCGCTCGTAGGACCCATGGAACAACACGATCCCCTGTTCTTCTCCACCTGGTTCAAGATAGAAGCTCTCTTACCTTTCTGTATCTTCTCCCAGACAGACGCCCTCCTTCAACCAGAGGCTCTCATTGGTTTTGTTCGCATTGGGCGCTTCCTTTTCTTCCGGCTTCCCTGGTTTTTGGGAATCCAGTGGATCGGGATCTGACAAAACAAGGAGCAGTAGTCCATGTACAAACACGTTGTGGTGCATTTTTGTTTTAGTCCTTCATTCCTTCCCTCCCTCCCACCCTTCTTCCTCTCCCTCCCTCTCCTTCCCTTTTCCTTCCATCCTTCCTTCCTTCCTTCCTTCCTACCCTGCCTTTATTGTTATTTTTTACAAACAACTCAAAGTGACACACTTATTCAACAGATCTTCCTCCTACTAATCTGCCTACAACAACCTGGTGAGGTGAGGTGGGCTAGGGGAGAAGGGAGGAGGGAGGAGGGAGGGAGAGAGAGATTGGCCGAAAGTCATCCAGCCAGCTAAGGCAGGACTAGAACTCACTGTCTCCTAGTGATTGCCCTAAAGTCACTCAGGCAGCTTTCCTGCCTAAGGCGGGACTAGAACTCACCATCTCCTGGTGATT